CCTCACCTGTGTACCAGTGGAGGAAGGCCTTCCGGCGGAACATGGCAGTGAACTGCTCTGAGATGCGCTTGAACAGCTCCTGGATGGCTGTGCTGTTTCCAATGAAGGTGACCGCCATCTTGAGGCCACGGGGTGGGATGTCACAGACGGCCGTCTTGACATTGTTGGGGATCCATTCCACGAAGTAGCTGCTGTTCTTGTTCTGCACGTTGAGCATCTGCTCATCGACCTCCTTCATGGACATCCGCCCACGGAAGACAGCAGCCACGGTGAGGTACCGGCCATGGCGGGGGTCACAGGCAGCCATCATGTTCTTGGCATCGAAGACCTGCTGGGTGAGCTCTGGCACAGTGAGGGCCCGATACTGCTGGCTTCCACGGCTGGTTAGAGGAGCAAAGCCAGGCATGAAAAAGTGGAGACGTGGGAAGGGCACCATGTTGACTGCCAGCTTGCGGAGGTCAGCATTGAGCTGGCCAGGGAAGCGGAGGCAGGTGGTGACACCACTCATGGTGGCCGAGACGAGGTGGTTCAGGTCCCCGTAGGTTGGCGTGGTCAGCTTGAGGGTGCGGAAGCAGATGTCGTAAAGGGCCTCATTGTCGATGCAGTAGGTCTCATCGGTGTTCTCCACCAGCTGATGGACGGACAGGGTGGCGTTGTAGGGCTCCACCACGGTGTCGGACACTTTGGGCGAGGGCACCACACTGAAGGTGTTCATGATGCGGTCAGGATACTCTTCACGGATCTTGCTGATGAGCAAGGTGCCCATTCCAGAGCCCGTGCCCCCACCCAGCGAGTGGGTCAGCTGGAAGCCCTGCAGGCAGTCACAGCTCTCGGCCTCCTTCCGAACCACATCCAGGACCGAGTCGACCAGCTCGGCCCCCTCTGTATAGTGGCCCTTGGCCCAGTTGTTGCCTGCCCCAGACTGACCTGCAATGGGGTCAGAAGGCAAGCTTGGTTAGTAAAGTGTGGAAGATACATGGCCACATTTCTGCTTTTCAACTTTTGGAGTAATACCAGTGGATGTATCTTCTCTCCCTCCCCTGTGGTACACCTGTCGCTCCCCCCCCCCGTTTACTATTTAAAGCAGTCACTACCTCTATCCTCCGTTAGATTTCAAAACACAGCCCTGTATAAGTTCTTCAGTACAATCATTTCCTAACTCTTGCTGCGCCCAAATAACTTGAACAAGTATCTACTATTGTCTGTGTAACTCACCAAAAACAAAGTTGTCTGGTCTGAAGATCTGACCAAAAGGCCCTGAGCGAACAGAGTCCATGGTCCCGGGTTCTAGATCCACCAAGATAGCACGAGGAACATATTTGCCACCTACAGGGAATAAAGTAGCGTTGTAAAAACTGACCGACATATAGGTAAATATTTTGGGGCGGGGAGGCAGCCGGGGACCCAAACTTGTGATTCCAGGCACTGCCACCAGGTGGCAGCAGAGCCACTTTTGAGCCCCGATGGGGGAAATGAAGAAACGGCTCCAAAGGGAGAGAATGGATTCATTCAAGGGGGATAAAGGGTTTCCCAGGGAGGCAGAGACCCCAGAGAGGTGGGAGTGATGGGACCCGTGATTCACGGCCTCCTGCCCTCACCTGTGGCTTCATTGTAGTACACGGAGATGCGGTCCAGCTGCAGGTCGCTATCCCCATGATAGGTGCCGGTGGGGTCGATGCCATGTTCATCACTGATCACCTCCCAGAACTGCCGGGGGAGAGCAACGGGTCCTCAACAGCTCAGGTTCCAGCCAATTATACGCCCTCTACCGCCATTTTAATTCCAGATACGCCTGTGGTGGGCCCTCCCCTAGGGCCTGGCATTCCTTCTGCCTGCCACACCCTTCCCCTAAACACCTGCACACGCGGGAAAACTGCAGCTTTCACTGCTTGGGATGTGAGATGCTGTGGAAGGTCCCGGCGATCGCAGGCACCGAGGTGGGTAGATGGAGGCGGCCGACTTGCTCGGAGAAGCGCACCTCCCCGCCCCGCCCCTCGCAGGGCACAAAGAGCTGGGGGCCGTAGAAAGGAGCCACTGCCGCAGGCGCCCACCCCGCCCGGCACGTGACCGCGGCGCAGGCGCGCGCCTAGGCGCCGACAAAGGGAGGTGCCGCGCGTGGGCGGGGCCGGAGCGCAAATTCCGCGCGGTAAGGGCGGGACTTGGCTCGGGCTCGCGCGCCCCCAGCGGGCTGGCCCGGCCGCATTGTCCCAGCGCGCCAGGGCGCCCGGGTCCCGCCCTTCTGCTCTAACGTAGCAGCCGCGCTTCCTCCCCGCCCCTCCCCCGCTACACTGTAACCGCGCGCAAAGGAAAAAAAAAAGCCTCCCCCTTGGCCTCGGAATTTTATTTCTTCTCTAGCTTTTAATTTTAACCCCCTTGCTTTAAATGAGGTTTTTCTTCCTTTGTCCTACTCTTTGGCCCTGAGGAGCCCTTTTAAAATAAGCACTCCCCCTTTCCCCTAGCTCTTTCTCCATATCTGTTCACGCCCTAAAAGGGTCTCGGTTAAGGGCAAATGAAAGAAACTGAAATTAGTCCAGCACATATTAGCCTTCCATGCACGAAAAACTGGGGGACCGCCCCTTGGGGATCGCGGGTGCCCGGAGACACCTATCTTTTGTAAGGGATATCGCGTACTGCAGCCCACCCTGGCGCATCGCGTCCCCCACATTTGGATCTGACCTCTCTGCAGCTGCCCGCCAGCCTCGCCCCTTCCCCCTCCGGCTCAGCCCTCCGAAGCCCCGCCAAAGGGGATGCACATGGGGAAAACCTCATGTCGCTTTGTCTCGGGCCGTTTCCGCATCTCCCTCGCTCCCCGGACCGTTAGCAGATGCCCTTTTTAAGTAAAATTTTACAGAAACTCGGTTTTCCCGCCCCCTAAACCTGAAGAGTGCTTTTAACAGCTTCCCCAAAATAAGCCTGCCAAGAAAAATTCCCCATTTTTCAAAAGCAAATCCCAGCTTTGCATAATACAAACATGTATTATATATACATACAACTTTTAAGGGGTAAAGCCTGACTAAGAATGGAGGATGCGAATGTCCCACAGCCATTCGTCATAATTTACCTGGATTTTTTTCTTCTTAAAAATGAATATAGTCAAAAGAGGTTAAAAATCCTTACCTTGGCACCGATCTGATTGCCACACTGACCGGCCTGGATGTGCACGATTTCCCTCATTTTTAAAATTTATTGTAATCTTTTTGCTCGCCTCACAAGTGTGTACGGGGCAAGAAAATGATACGTAATTAGTTTTTCTCTGCTGCTGGTCGCAGGCTGGAAGGATGGGACGGGGCCCAGAGGTTGGAGCAGCGAGGTCCGAACTCGGCGGCAGGAAGGTTCTGAGAGGGAGAAAGGAGAGGGGAGGGCGCGGGAGGAAAGGCGGGCAGGGCGGGGCGCGCGTGCGCGGGGGCCGGGAGGCGGGAGAACGCGCCCCGAGAGGTGGTGGGGAGACAAAGCCTCACCGAGGCTGGCCCTGATTAGTCCGTGCTGGTCATGTATCAGACGTCCATTGGTCCCTGCTCGGCGGGACGACCGCAGTCCTCCCTGGGAGTTGTAGTCCTCTATTGTTGTCCACGCTGCAAAATGAAAGAACAAATGGGTGGGTACTGGGTATGGGGGTTTTGGTTTGGGAGTTTTTAATGAAAAATGACCTTGCGCAAGGGTTCCTTCCTCTATGCCTGACTTTTCTGGTATAAAAAGAGAGTAGTTTACGGATACAGAAATTGGGAACCCGGGGGTGCCAGGCGTTGGAAGGTGGAGTGGGGGCACGCCCTGAAAGCTCCCCGCTGCGGTAGCTCTTGGGAAGACAGGACTGCTTAGCTCAGCGAAAACTGGGGAGAAATGCGGCATCCTGATCTGCTATCTAACAGCTGGTCCTTTGGTGACCCAAGGCATGAACTTCAGTAAACTGCTGCTCCCCCAGATACCTCAGGAAGAAGGAGGGGATTGCCCTCCTGCTATTTCCTTGGGAGTTTTCTAATGATAATGTTTAGAAACAAAATTGCAGCAAGGGCTTTTCAAGATAGAGAAGTAATTGTGTGAAGGGTATGTTCAAGAATAAGTTGAATGGTTTAGAGAAGTTGATATGCCAGAAGTGTCTGTCCATGTGGGGGGTCTGGGCCTTAGAGCAGCGTTTAACACACTGTATTGTCCAGCGGAGAACTATGGGGTGAGGTACCTGATAGAATTTCAGTGTCTTCCAGCCTGCCTCTCTAGACACTGATGAAGTCAGTGTTTTTTCAGTTCACTGATTTCACTGACTAGGTGGCTGACCATTGCAACCTTCCAGGAGCCTCAGGATTGAAATAAAAGGGGTAGGGAGGTGATGGGGGAAAAACTGGATGAGCTGAAGTCTGAGTGGCATGTTTCATCTCAGGGATTAATTCAACTTGAGAGATACTAAGTGTCCACCAATCCAGGAGCTAGGGATACGAAAATGATTAAGAAGTAGCTCACTGTTCTCCAGGATCTTGCATTTTCATGAGAAGTGTATAAACAATAATTGAGTGTGGTAAGCACTGTGATAAAGGACATGTTATATCAAGGTCATCATTGTTAATTCACATTGGATTCAACACACATTTCTCAGTCGTTTTATAAATAAAAGAACAAGTTGTGTAAGACCCGTCTACCCACTTAAAATAGAATGTTCATGTTTTACGGCATGATCACAATGAAAATAATTACGTATTTTGTGGTAGTGAAGAGAGTTCAGGATTTACAATTAGGGAACTGGTTTCAATTTGTCTCTACCTTACATTAGTTGTAGGCAAGTTATGGGCAGAGCTCCGATTCTTTCTATAAAACCTATTTCTGCCTATTGTAGTCAGAATGAAGTGAGATAAGAATGCAAAAGGTCTTCCTAAATTATTCATGTCTTAGTATGACATTTAATGAAATAAATGATATTTATCATCCTCGAACCCTTCAAAGAACTCGGTCAGCCTTCAAGATGGTTAACGGAACAGTTCTGTTTGCCTAGGGATCTTTACTCTTGGAGAATGACCTCAAAATGTCCATCAGGAATGTATTGTCAGAGAGGAAATGACATGACTTCAAGACGAGCTAACTCATAAGAAAATGACTTCCATTGCAATGAGTCCTCGAGCGCCACGCCTACGGGATATTTTCCAAACTGCAGCCTTCAGCCACGACTGCAACCCGCAATCCATTTTCATTTCTCATGAGTCAGCGGACTCCATGTCTGGGAGGACCGGGGAAGGACGCTCTGGCCGCACTAGATGCTTGGCGCGACGACTATGGTAAGCCCCTCTATGCGTCGCTGGCGTCCAGACTCTGTGGTCGCAATTTGGAAATCTGCGCGGGAAGTGGGCGGTGCGGTGAAGCGGCAGTGGGTTGTCCTCTGGAGCTGCCCAATCGAGGTGCGCTATTCTATGCGCCTTCGGCGGCCTCTGATTACAGCCTCAGCCAACTGATCTCAGCCTCCCCGGAGAAGCCGCCCCTTTGAGCTGTAAGGGGGCGGGGACGGGGCGGGGCTCTGGCTGTGCCTCCGAATTGGCGGCTTGCTCTGTCGGCGTGCAGCCGGGCTGTGAAAGACAGCGGCAGGAGCCAATCAGCGAATCGGCCCCCGCCCCGCTCAGGCACTCGCGCCACCCCGGTCGCGGCCGTTACTGGTGGCGCGCGCGGGGACTCAAAGTAGGTGAGTTCTGGGGGGCCTCGCCCAAGGCTCCCCGGGTGACATCTTGGTTTTCCCCGGTGGGCGGGAGGGGCGTGCCTTGGGTACGACTGGGCGGAGGATACTTGGAAATTTGCTGCTCGGATTATAATACTCATCCTTACCTGACGCTCCTCCCTGACCTTAGGTATGAAGACACAGGGAGCCGTTGGGCTAGGAGGGAACCCATGGGATGGAGGGAGATCAAAGGTGGTGGCCCATGGATTGGAGACGAGGGTCATGGGTACCAGCTGAGTTCGCCAGTCTTAAGAACGGAGTTAACACTATCTCCATGGAGGTGTCCTACTTTCCCAACCTGTCAACAGTTTCCGTTTAGAGTAGCATCTTTCATACTGTTTTGAGTTTTCATCTTATTTGTTCTTTAATCAGGAGGGCAGAGTTAATTTTACTTTTGGTTCAGGAATGTATCCCGAATACTTACAGCGGTACCAGGTGCGCAATAACTGTTGAATGAATATGATGGACCCTTGGGGAAAAGACACAGTTCTGCCTTGTCCAGTTCTCGGGGGGTGTGAGGCAGAAATGGAATGTAATAGTTACACTATGGTGAGAGCTATCAGGATAAGTACAAGTCCACCAACCACCGTGAAACACTTAGGAACATGGGGAACACCAGAAAGCAGAGAAGACTCCAGGCAAGGCTTTGCTGAGGTAGTGACATTTGAACTGAATTGTAAAGGATGGGTAGGATTTGGACCAGAAAACTGAGCAAAGGGCTAAGGAGCTGGCTAAGGCCTGCAGATGAAAGGGAGCAATGTGTTCAGAGACTGGGGAGAAGGTCCATGTGGCTGAATCATAGGCTTGGGTGAGGTGCGGGTGGGACATACATTTGAGGATATGAGGTTCTGATTGTGGAGGGTCTTGCTAAGGAGTTTAGATTTTATTTTATCCTATGGGCATGGAAATCCATCAAAGAATATTAAACAGAGGAGAGACATTATCTGGGTGGTCCTGGACAAATTCCTTAATCCATCTGTATTGCAGTTTCTTTATCTGAGAAATAGAAAGTAATAATAAGGAATTCCCTGGCGCTCCAGTGGTTAGGACTCCGTGCTTCCACTGCAGGGGCCAGGGGTTTGATCCCTGGTCGAGGAACTAAGATCCCACATGCCATGCTGCATGTCCAAAAGGAAAACAACCAAAAAAAAAAAGTAATAATAATAGTTTACAGGGTTCTTGTGATAATTAAATAAGTCAGTGAATATAAAGTATTTAGAGCAGTGCTTGACACCTACCAAGCCTCTCTTTTGGCTGTTATGATTTTTTGCAGTTTAGTCTGATCACACTGAGATGATCTGATAAAGTGTAAAAAGCATGGGCTTTGCAGCCAGAAGCACATTTATTCCTACCCTTTTCATTTACCTGCTATGTTATCCTGATTGAATATTTTTAGCCTTAGTGTCCTAAATGCCTGCCTCATGGCTACTATGCCTGATACATAGTTGGTGTTTGGCAAAAGTTATCCCAATAGTGGATAGTGAAATCAATTTAGTGGATTGCAAATCGGCATTTAAAGAATTGAGAAGAGAAAAAAACAGAATGACAACTATCAGAGTGTTGTATAAAGGCTTAACATTGTTTCTCAAAACATTTGTCTATAAATAAGCATGTGGGGGTTTTTTTGTTTTTTGTTTTTTTTAAGATTTATTTATTTATTATTATTTATTTAATTTTGGCTGTGTCGGGTCTTAGTTGCAGCATGCGGGATCTTCATTGAGGCATGCGGGATCTTTCATTGCGGTGCCGGAGCTTCTCTCTAGTTGTACTGTGCGGGTTTTCTCTTCTCTAGTTGTGGCGCGCAGGCTCCAGGGCACGTGGGCTCTGTAGTTTGTGGCACGCGGGCTCTCTAGTTGAGGCGCCCGAGCTTAGTAGTTGTGGCACACAGGTTTAGTTGCCCCGCGACATGTGGGATCTTAGTTCCCTGATCAGGGATCGAACCTGAGTCCCCTGCGTTGGGAGGCAGATTCTTTACCACTGGACCACCAGGGAAGTCCCAAGCATGTGTTTTTGTATATATTTCTGTACTGGGGACTCTATAATATTTATTTCTTATTCCGTATCATGGTCAAAGATATTTCTTAAATGCTTCAGAAGAATAACAACAGAATGACTGGCAGAAGGGGAAGCATCAGCCTCCATAGCTATCCAGGTTTACAGCAGTTAGCAGTCTCCTCTCTGAGGCTGTGTGTGTGACCCACTGAAAGAGGTGATAATAATGTGTTTTTTCCTCAGATCATGGAAGACACCCAGGTTATTAACTGGGAAGTTGAACAAGAGGAGGAGGTTGAAGAGAGACCCAGTGAATCTTTGGGGTGTAGCTTGGAGCCCCTTGGGCGACTGCGTATCTTCAGTAGTTCCTATGGACCAGAAAAAGGTCAGGGGTTATTGGGTGCTGAAGTACTGGTATTTCTTTTTCTTTTTTTTTTTTTAGGCCTCTTATTTCTGTGGCGAGGTAATTGGAGGCTTGCAAGCTTAGATATGCATCTGGGAGATCTGAAAAAAGGTTTTACTGGGAATGGAGAAGAGGGGGCTGATTGATCTGATTGCTCCAGGCAAGTGCCCTGGACTCAATGGGGTGCCTTTACTTTGGTAGGAGAAGATGAAGGGATTCAGATAAAAATCCAGTGAGGTCTGGAAATGGGTGGTGGTGATGTTTTGCACAACAATGTGAATGTACTTAACGTCACTGAACTGTACACTGAAAAGTTGGCTGAATGGTAAATTTTATGTATATTTTACAATAGAAAATAATCCAGTGTGGATGGATGGGGTATTGATTATGAATAATGCATTGCATATATTCTTTATTAGCTAGATAATCCTGGGGCCTTTTATTTTTCTAATGCATGGGGGGACCTTGAGTGAGTAGTGAGGTACTTAACAGGAACATTTTCCTAATAGAAGGTCAGGACTCTGGCCTTGGAACCCATATACCTCTCTAATTCTTAGATTTCCCACTATACCTTGGGAAGAATGTGGTAGGCCGAATGCCTGATTGCTCTGTGGCCCTGCCCTATTCATCTATCTCCAAACAACATGCAGTGATTGAAATCTTGGCCTGGGACAAGGCGCCTGTCCTCCGGGATTGTGGAAGCCTCAATGGTACTCAAATCCTGAGGCCTCCTAAGGTCCTGGGCCCTGGGGTGAGTCATCGTTTGAGGGACCGGGAGTTGATTCTCTTTGCTGACTTGCCCTGCCAGTACCATCGCTTGGATGTCCCCCTGCCCTTTGTCTCCCGGGGCCCTCTAACTATAGAGGAGACACCCAGGGTACAGGGAGGAACTCAACCCCACAGGCTTCTGTTGGCTGAGGACTCAGAGGAAGAAGTAGGTAAGTTTGTGTATTGGGAGGGCGGGTGAGGAGATGGGGATCGTGAGTGTAAAACTGTCAACTTACTCCTTTCTACAACTGACAGATTCTCTTTCTGAGAAGCGTGTGGTGAAAGGACCAAGGACCTCCTTTTTGGCGACAGTAGTTCCAGAGAGGTGAGTGCCAAAGGGCCAGACAGCTGAGTCCTCTAAAGGAGGAGGAATCGGGGCTGGAGGATCCATTCTACGAGAACTTATTACCATGAAAGTCCGGGCTGGGGAACTACACATACTCATTCAATCAACTGAATTTTTATTGAGCACCTCTGATGTGCCAAGTAAAAAACTAACTGCTGGAGATAGAAAAGAAAATACTACCTCATGTCTGCCCTCAAGGAGCTCCTGGCTGAGTGGGGCATCCCTTCTGGGGAAATAGATTCTATAGACTCTCTCTTCTCTTCCCTTCACAGCGATGAAGAGGGACCTTCCTCTGCCCTGGATGTCCCTGGGCCACCTTTTGCCTTCAACTTGAACAGTGACACAGATGAGGAAGAAAGTCAGCAACCAGGAGCAGGGGAGGGCTCCTCAGCTGCCAGAAGAGTCACCGCTGCAGAGACAGAACAGCCTAAACCTGTCACAACTGGAATCCAGCTTGGAAAGGATCAGTGTTCAGTGAAGGAGAAGAACAAGGACACGAAAGTTGAGAGGAGTGCGAGGAGTAGGGTGGTTCCAGTTGGAGTGACTCTGGAGAGGAGCCAGCCTGCTGGGGAGGACAGTGACACAGATGTGGACGATGAGAGCGGGCCTCTGAGAAGGCTCACTGGGGTCCATCTGGAAAGGGCCCAGCCTTGTGGCTTCATAGACAGTGATACTGATGTGGAAGAAGAGGGGATCCCTGCGACCCCAGCTGTAGTTCCTGTGAGGAAGAGGCACATCTTCCATGAAGTTGGTACAGAGAGTCCTCGGGCACCTGGCGTGGCACATCAGCAGGAGAGCCCGGCTGGTAGTGATACAGATATAGAGGAGGGGGAGGCCCCCCTGACTGTCCCTCTGGACAAAAGCCGAGCCTCCGTCGTGATCGATAGCAATACAGATGACAAGGAAGAAGTCTCAGCAGCGCTCACGCTGGCACATCTAAGAGAGAGCCGGGCCGTTGCGTGGAACAGAGATCCAGATGCAGAAGACGATAGGGCCCAACCGGTGGCCCTTCTGGAGCAAAGCCAAGCCTCTGCTGGGAGAGACAGTGACACAGACGTGAAGGAAAAGGGGCTCCCAGTGGAGAAGACAGGAACTGTTCCCAGGGGTCACACGGGCAAGGCATATTCAGAAAAGAGTCATCCTCCTCTCAGGGACAGTGATACAGAGGTGGCGGAAGAGAAGAGCTCACCAGGGTTCCACCTGGAGAGAAGCCAAGCCTCTGCCACAGTGCATATCAACACACAAGTGGTGGAGGAAGTCCCACCACGGCCAGCTGTTATACTTCTGGAGAAGCATCAAGTACCTGTAGCATGGACACATCAAACAGATGTGGAAGCTGAAGGAGGCCCAGCAAAGCTGCCTGTGGTGTATCCACAAGAAGCCCAGCCTCCTCTCGCTGGGGACTGTGACCCAGATGCGGAGGAGAACACATCCTTAGCAGCCTCAGCAGTGGCAGATGTAAGAAAGAGCCAGCTTCAGGCAGAAGAAGATACTGGGACAGAGTGGGCTGTAGCCGTTCTTGAACAGGGCAGGGCTTTTATGGCTGGGGCCCAGGGTGGGTCACCCGCGGCCCAAGTGGAGCAGGACCTTCTCCCTGTCTCAAGGAATAACATAGCAGATCTGGTGGTGGACACAGGCACTCCAGGGGAACCCACCCAGCCACAGAGACAGGGGGCCCAGACCCCCACAGAAGGGGAGAGAGAACCACATGTGGATAGGACCATGGACTCTGGAGACAACCACGATGGTTAGTGCTGGCCTTTCTTCCTCCCTTAACCCCTGCAATAAAGAATGCTTCTAGGGTATCTTAGTTCATTTGAGCTGCTATAACAAAATACCATAGACTGGGTAGCTTATAAACAACAGAAGTTTATTTTTCACACTTCTAAAGCCTGGGAAGTCCACGATACCAGCAGATTCAGTGTCTGGTGAGGCCCCGCTTCCTTCTTCATAGGCAGCCATCTTCTCACTATGTCCTCACGTGGCAGAAGGGCCCAAGGAAGCTCTCTGGAGTCTCTTTTATAAGGGGACTGATCCCATTCACACGGGCTCCACCCTCATGACCTAATCACCTCCCAGAAGCCCCACCTCCTAATACCCTCACATTGGAAATTAGGTTTCAATGTAAGAATTTTGGGGGAGACACAGAGATTCAGTCTATTGCATGGTGTTGGGGCTGAGGAGGGAATAGTAGAGTAAAAGGAAGGAGTTAAGGGTCAGCTGTGATTTTTTAATTATCCTATATTCCTCCCCCACCAGATTCTGAAGATCTGGACCTGCAAGCTACCCAGTGCTTTGTGGAGAGAGAGAATCAGAGCCTGGAAGGTGAGGACATCTGTATCATGTGGATACTGGTACAAACAGGAGCTTGGAGATCAGACTGGTAGTCCTTGAAGTGTGTGAAAGCTGGGACGGTCAGGGTGGGAAACTAAGAATGGGACCCTGGAGTTCTGTGGAGCAGTGCTCAGGCCATGCTTTCTTGTGCAACAGTCCCCAGCATGGAGGATGAACCCACCCAGGCCTTCCTGTTTACTCTGCCCCAAGAGCCTGGCCCTTCCCGTTGCAGCTTCCAGGCCACAGGTATAAGAAACTCTCCCCTCTGTGTCCCGAACTTGGCATCCTTATTTCCCCCTCTACACGTTTCTTTTATATTCCTTGACGTTTTGCTGATGTTCCTCCATCTCCTCAGAAAAAAAATGCCATATTAAGTCAGACCCATAGAACAACTAGTCTAGCATAAGTTTTTAAGAGGCTACTGAGAGAACTTTTATATGAAGGTTTGGGCTTACTTTTTGAGACAAATGTTAAATGTTATGACTATCTTCCTTACTCCCAGCTTTCCTTTAATAACCCATTTAAATTTATTATGCATGAATTTGTCTTCATCTTTTCTCAAGCTATTACCTTTTCAACCTACACTCCTCCCTCTTCTCTCTCTCTCTCTCTCTGCTTTCAGGTTCCTTGGATGAGCCATGGGAGGTCTTGGCTACACAGCCATTCTGTCCGAGAGAGTCTGAAGCCTCTGAGACCCAGCCCATTGCCACCCACATTGAAGCCCATGCATCTTGCCCCTCTCCACCTACGGCAGCACCACAAGAGCAACATCCAGAGAGTCCAGTTCATGCAGAGCCACTGGGGATTCAAGGCAGAGGGATGCAGACTGTGGAGGAAGACATGGGTACACCAAGAGAGACAGCAGAGAGGGTGACCCCTGAGAGAGGGCCATTGGAGAGGGAAACTGAGAAACTGCCCTCGGAAGGAGAGAGGGAAGATGTGACGGGAGAGGAAGAATCAACGAGGGGGATACAGGACAGAGAACAAAAACAGGTGTTAGCTAGAGATACTCAGAAACAAGAGTCTGACAAAAAAGTAAAAAGTGCAAGTACTGAAAGGGATATGGAGAGTTTGAAGGTAGAAATTGAGACACCCGAGGAAATACAAGAGAAAGAGAGAGAAAAGCAGACTCTTACAAGAGAAATATTTGACAGAGAAGCAGAGAAACCAGTAGCAGAGAGAGAGTGTGAGACAGGTGGGTTACAAGGGAAGGTACCCAAAGTGATGCTGGACAGAGGCCCACAGACAGGGGAGACAGAGGCGGGGGGCCAGGACCAGAAAGGCCAGGCTTCAGGTTCGACACCAGAGCCTGGAGCGGGGGCGGGAGACCTTCAGGGACTTGCTTCAGACCCCATAGCTTCTGGGAGCCAGTCAGGTGGAGGAAGGGGTGCCCCAGTGAGCCCCAGGAGGCAGCAGAGAGGTAAGTGAAGGTAGAGGGGAGCCTAAGGTGGTACACAGCCCTCATGATAATCAACCGCTAAGTGACTGACTGCTTAGACCTCAGCTACTTGCCTTTCCCTTCTGTCTAGGCTACTTGAATTGCAAGATGCCACCTGCTGAGAAGGCTTCCAGGGTGAGAGCTGCTTTCTGTACCCACCTCCCCACTCCACAGGTCATCTCTGCAATCTCCTCCACTGCCCCTTCCCCTGACCTTGCTTTCATTTACTCCTTTCCCCATACGTTTAACTTTTCTTCCATTTTCACTGCTCCTTAGTTGGCTTCTTGGTTGGCTCCTTAGTTGGCTTCTATCCGTTTACTTTGACACTGTTGTTTTCCATATCTGTTCCCCAAGTTCTGTCTCCCTCCCTGACTCAGAAAGCTCCTTTTTTCAAGCCCCTTTCCTCTTTCTCCTAACCGTCCTCTTTATTAGCGTCATCCATACATGGAGAATGCTATACTGGCATTCTGGGGAGAGGTCTCTGGGAAGGAGGGAATTCCCAGTCTAATGGAACAGACAGAAAGAGAGATGCCACGAGTACACTCTATAAACAAGGATCAAGAACAGTATCCAAGTCCTGTCTCTCTTCTCTCTGTCTCCTCCTCCCTCACTGGCTTCCATTTCTCCCCAGGGTGATCAGGAATCCCCAGATGCTTGTCGGCCTCCTGCACTGCAGGAGGCTTCAGCGCCTCTCCAAAACCCCCTCATCTCTCAGAGCCAGAAACATCCTGCCCCTCAGTCCCTCCTTTCGCCCTCTCCACCTCCTTTAGAACCGCCTATTCCCAGGACCAGACAAAATGAGAGTCAGGAAGCTCTGGAGACTCCCTTCTCCTCAGAGCTGGACTCTCTTCACCCAAAACCCAAAGTCAAGCCCCAAGGGTCCTCTCCAGTTTCTTCTGTACCCCTTGAGCCCCACCCTACCGCCTCCACAGACCAGCTTGTCACCCCCAAGCCCACATCTCGGGCCACTCGGGGCCTGACACTTAGGTCCTCTGTCAAAACCCCTGAACAAAATGTCTCCACAGCCCCTGAGCTCCAGCCTTCTGCCCACACAGACCAGGCTGTCACCCCCAAACCCACATCTCGGGCCACTCGGGGCAGGACACAGAGGGCTTCTGTCAAGACTCCCGAACCAGTTATCGCCACAGCCCCTGMGCCCCAGCCTTCCACTCCCACAGACCAGCCTRTCACCCCCRAACCCACATCTCGGGCCACTCGGGGCMGGACACAGAGGGCTTCTGTCAAGACTCCCGAACCAGTTATCTCCACAGCCCCTGAGCCCCAGCCTTCCACTCCCACAGACCAGCCTGTCACCCCCAAACCCACATCTCAGGCCACTCGGGGCAGGACACTTAGGTCCTCTGTCAAAACCCCTGAACGAAATGTCCCCACAGCCCCTGAGCTCCAGCCTTCTGCCCACACAGACCAGCCTGTCACCCCCAAACCCACATCTCAGGCCCCTCAGGGCAGGACACTTAGGTCATCTGGTAAGGCCCCTGAACCAGTTGTCCCCATAACTCCTGAGCCCCAGCCTTCCACCTCTAAAGACCAGTCTCTCACCCCTGAACCCACATCTCAGGCCACTCGGGGCAGGACACAAAGGTCCTCTGTCAAGACATCCCAGCCAACTGAACCCACAGCTCCTGACCTTGAACCTTCGTCCCCCACAGAGCAGCCTGTCACCCCCAAAGTCATAGCTCAGGGTGGTCAGAGCAGGACACTAAGGTCTTCTACAGTAAGTGCTGTGCCAGTTCCTACCACCCCTGAATCCCACTCTCCAGTGCCCACAGGAGAGCCTGTTCCCCCTGAGCCCATCCCTGAAGCCAATTGCAGCAGGAGGCCAAGGGCCACTAGGAAACATGGGTCTCTCACAGCTCACGTTCGTGAACCCTACTCTGCACCCTCCGAACCTAACTCCCAGTCTTCAAGGAACCAGAGACGAGGGGCAGTGAGAGCAGCCGAGTCCCTTAGCACCATTCCTGAGCCTGCCTTTGCCCAGCTTCCCGAGGCACCCACTCGTGCTCCCCAGATCCCAAAGCGGGAGGCAACAGATAGATCTGGCTTCACCCCAGAGCCCCAGCCTGAGGCCTCTCAAAATCGCAAGAGGCCTTTAGCTACTGCGGACTCACCTCCACTTCAAAAACGGCTCCAAAGAGAAGTTCCCCAGAAGACAGCATTCCTCAAGGAAGAAGAAGAAAATCCTGCAGCGAAGCTGAGGAAGGAAGAGGTGAGGAGGGGGCTGGAGTCACCTAGTTTGGAAAGAGCTTGGGGGCTTGGAAACTCCCACCAAGTTCTCTCTCAACCCCAGGATGTAGTGATTCCAGGACCAGGCAAGAGAAAGAGAGAGCAGACAGAGGAGGAGCCCCGGGAAATACCAAGCCGCAGCCTGCGACGGACCAAACCTCTCCAAGAGTCCACGGCCCCCAAAGTAGGAGAGAAGGGCCCTGGGGCTTTGTGGGAGATGGAGATGGGGTAGGACGGGAGGAGACCCAGGGGATTTGGGAGACGGGTGCCGATGGCGCTGGCTGCCGTGACCAGCTCTGGCTAACCCCCTTCACAGGTGCTCTTCACAGGCGTGGTGGATGCTCATGGAGAGCGGGCAGTGCTGGCCCTGGGGGGCAGTCTGGCCAGCTCAGTGGCTGAGGCTTCCCACCTGGTGACAGATCGGATCCGCCGGACAGTCAAGTTCCTGTGTGCCCTGGGGCGGGGCATCCCCATCCTCTCCCTGGACTGGCTGCGCCAGGTGAGAGGCCAGGAGATGATGACAGACCCGTAGAGATAGTGGCGGGAGAAGGCTGCTCACATGGGTCTGTAGAAAGCGGTGGGAGGAACGTGGGTACAGGAAGACGAGGTTAGTGAAGCAGAAGACTTAATTCTGAAAACATTTCGTGAGCTCCCTGTAAACACTAGAAAGAAGAGCTGGGTGAAGGACTGGGCTGAGCTTTGATACCGACTGTTACCGTCCTTAGTCCCACAAGGCAGGTTGCTTCTTGCCCCCGGCTGAATATGTGGTGGCTGATCCTGAGCAGGAGAAGAACTTTGGCTTCAGCCTTCGGGAGGCCCTGAGCCGGGCTCGGGAGCGAAGGCTGCTGGAGGTGAGAGGCCATCTTCTGCCCCACACTTCAGCTGTTGCCCAGCGGTCCACGGCCTCTCAGTGCATCATCTACTGTCTCCACCGTTCTCTTCCTCCTAGGGCTACGAGATTCACGTGACCCCAGGAGTCCAGCCACCACCACCTCAGATGGGAGAGATCATCAGCTGCTGTGGAGGCACCGTCCTACCCAGCATGCCCCGGTCCTATAAGGTAGGGGTGGTGTGTTCAGGATCTGGTGAGGTGGTAGTTAGAGAGGTGGCTGGAATGGGAACAGGTTAGAGGGAAAATGGAGGTACAGATGGGAACACGGAGTAGTGAGAGGCTGGGGGAAGACCTCTGGTATAGAGAGGGATAGAGAAGGAAGAGGTCTGCTGATACCAAATGGACTTATTTTTATTTTTGTATATACAATTTTTTGAAATATACACAAAGGGAGAGGGAATATGTAGCGAACCTCCATATACCAATCACTCAGATTCAACAGGTTAATTTAGATTTTGCTGCATTTGCTCTATTCCTTTTTTTTTCCCTTTTTCTTTCATTTTCTTTGCTGAAATTTTTAAGGGAAACTGCAAAGGTCATTATTATTTTTTCTTACATATTTAAAATATACATCTCTAAGAAATATGTACATTTCTTACATAATCACATGCCGTTATTGGTCAATAACAAAATTAACAATTGTTTCCTTGTCACTTCGTCTTACTCCATTAATCAAAGTTCTCGAGTCATCTGAAAATGTCTTTTTACAGTTCAAATCAGGACTCAAACAAGGTCCATGTATCCCCACAATTGCGCTGTATCTCTTAATTTTCTTTTACTCTAGAGCATACCCCCCAACCCACCTAGCCTTTTTCCTGCCATTGACTTCCTGCAGAAACTAGGTCACTTGTCCTTTAGAATGTTCCACAGTCTGGATTTTTCTGTTTGCTCCCTTGTTGTGTCATTTATCTTGTTTTTCTATCTTTTATATTTCCTGAAAATCGTAGTTAACTTTAAAAGGTTGAACAAATTCAGGTTCAACTTTTGTGGCAAGAGTTCTTCATAGACAGTGTGTGTCATACGGCTTCCCGTCAGGAGGTACTGTTTTTGTGCTGCTAAGACTGATTAGTGGGTCCCGAACCTATTTCTAGGATTCTTTTTCACCCCTGGCTTTCTGTTTTCTCTTTCTTCCAGCCTCAGAGAGTTGTGATCACATGTTCCCAGGACTTCCCTCGATGTGCCATTCCATTTCGGGTTGGGCTGCCCATCCTCTCACCTGAGTTCCTGCTCACAGGAGTACTAAAGCAGGAAGCCAAGCCAGAGGCCTTTGTCCTCTCCAGTTTGGAAGTGTCATCCACCTGAAAACCCCACCCCAGTATGCTTTTCCTCCCAGACCAATATATAAAGTGTTAGAAATATTTGGAAGAAAGAACTTAGGGCTTTAGAAAGGATTGGGGTGTACTGATCTGATTTGTCTTGGAACATGGGTGGGGCTGAAAAGCTTGCTGGTAAACAAACACAGGGAGATTGGGAGCCACAGTTTTCTTAAATGGCCTCTTAAAGTCGGCCAATCCCGTGCTCAGATATCTTAAGTCGCCGCTCACATTTAGCCGGACTGATGTGCTTATTGCTCTATGGCGCGCACAGTGTCCTGCTTCCTATTTGGAAACCATTTGTTTCTCCTCTTCTTTTCTTACTGGGATTCTTACTCACCCTGCAAAAGATAGTGGAAACAATTTTAGTGTCCAGAACTTGAAAGAATGCTTGGAGTGAGTAAATTTGAGGGTGGAGTTATGGAATGCTACTAAAATATTTTCCCCTCTCCTTGCCCCATCTCGTTAGAAGCATCCTTTAGCTTTGACGTTGAGCAAATCTCTGCCCTTTTTTTTTTTCCTGGCCTGCTTTTCCAGTATTTATAAAGTTAGCTTAGGCTTAACCTCTGTGATAAATAAATATTCACTATGTGCCTTATGGTGTAGTACAGTTTTATTTTGTAAATTTTAGAAGTTGGTTGATTACAAGGATGTAGAGAAATTGGAACCCATCTACATTGCTCATGGGAATGTAAAATGATTCATCCACTGTGATAAGCAGTTTGACAGCTTCTCAAAAAGGTAATTATAGAATTACCATATGACGCAGCAATTCTACTCATAGGTATATAGCCAAAAGAATTAAAACAGATGTTCAGACAAATACTTGTATACAAATGTTCATATCAACACTTTCACAAGAGCCGAAAGATGAAAACACCACAAATGTTCATCAGCAGATGAATGGATAAACAAGTTGTGGCATATCCATACAATGGAATATTATTCAGCCATAAAAGGGGATGAGGTACTAATTGTGCTACGGTGTTTTGAGGATGAATCTCAAAAGCATTATGCTAAGTAAAAGAAGCCAGACATAAAAGGTCACATTGTATGACTCCACCTGTAGGAAATACACAGAATAGGTAAGTCCATAGAGACAGTAGATGGTGGTTGCCAGGGCTGGCAGGGAGAGGAAATGGGGAATGACCGCCTAATGGGTGCAGGGTTTTATTTTGGGGTGAAGAGAAAATGCTTTGGAACTAGACAGAGGTGGTGGTTGCACACATTATGAATGTACTAAATGACACTGGACTGTTCTCTTTAAAGTGGTTAATTTCATGTTATGTGAATTTCACTTCAATTTAAAAAAATACTGATTAGTTTTGGGCACTTTTCTGCAGGTAAGTTATACTTAAGTTTGGAAAACTTTGGTGTAGTAGAAACAGCATGAGCTTTGCCAAACACTGTGCTGACTTTTAGACATACCTAATCTCACAATATATATTAAGCATAGCCATAGTGGGTGTGGCACACAGTAGGACCCAGATAAATATTAGTCCCCTTGCACTGCTCAAAGCCTTGTACTTTGTGAAGCTGCCTGTGTCCTTGAGGTCCACTGGATTCCTTACAGTACCTGCTGTCTCTATAGCCCCACTTAGCACTCATGTGCACACCCACTTCATGACTGGTACAATTTAAGTGCCCTGATTTAAGTTTCTAGAGAAGAGAGATCTTTTCTTACACTTCCAATGAACCCTACAGCTCATAGCACATTGTGTAATAAATGTCTCTGTCAGTCAGGATCCTAAGAGGAAACTATGGCACAGTCAAATTAGGATAATTTGGAGAGAGTTTAATGAAGTGAAAATTATAAGTAGGCCGAGTGTAGAGAAATCACTAAGAATATTGCCAGTACCCACAGCTCTGTTGTGGCCACCTGTAAACCCAAAAGGTTGAGAGGAGGGAACAGTTACACAGAAAGGCTTCCCTCAAATGCTGTGATTTTCTTTGATGTAGTCCATTCAGGACAACTTCCTGAGGCAGAAAGCAGGATGGAGAGTGAATCAGGAGGGAAAACATAATGATGTCTGGTACAGTATAAAACAGCACTGATTCAGAGGAGAATGGGAATACTAAGCCTTCGGGAGGGGAAGGAATGTAGAGCCTGTGGGATGCTGTTTGGCAATTTTGTCATCCCTGAGCCCACAGGACTAGCAGCTCCTTAATTCTTATCTTGGGAAATTTTCTTGATCTCTTTAGGCCTATGTTTCTTCTATCTATTAGCTGAGGGAATTAGCTTCATGATCTCTAAGTTCCTTACTATGGTCATAGCTACTGTGACCAGGTCCTTAGCTACATGATCTTTAATGGAGAAAAACCTTACTTTACTTTGATTTTTAGATGTGAATGTTAGTCTTGTAGGTATTACAAACAGGTCTGTAGGGAAAATTTTGGACAAAAGATCTTAGTGCTTTCTGACTAGTAAGTGGAGTCTAATATGAGGTTGTATAGGTAGTTAATTATCACAAGCTTGGATAAAATTAATATACTACAAAGTTTACAACTGTAATAAAGTTTTCTATCACAAATATTTTAACATATTGTTACTCTCATGTTTACAAAGTAACAGCCTTTGGCATTAATAGAACAAATCTTTCAGTGTTACAGACAAGTTCTCTCCCCTTAGCAAGTGGAGAGGCAACAAATCAGCTTTATAATAAATTACAGACTAAGCGTTTGTGGTAAAATAGTCACTCTTTTTCATCTAACAAGCTGTAATGGATGATTCAGAGCTTTGGGTTCTCAGCCTGGGTCAACAGTCTTCCGTTCTCTCACCGTTCATTATTAAAGTGTTAGCTGAGGCTTTGTAACCTCTGACTCTGGCTGTTTTCTAGTCAAAGCTGTTAAAGGAAGGGGGGATCATAATGCCGTTTCTGCAAGAACCCTGCAAGAGAAGAACTGTCTTCATTTTAGATGCGAAAACTAGCCCAGCTGCGATTCAAACCACGTGCATGACTGAACAACCGCTGCCCTTCTCACCTCTCACTTGGGATTCTAACATTCCCTTCTGTGACGCGGAGATCGCAGACCGGGGAAAGGCACTTAAGGATCAGCCCTGAAGCTCTGTGAGAGAGAGCCGCGCGCGCCGGCCGGAAGCCTGGGCGTCGGTGCGCGGGAGTCCCGCCCTCCTGGGCAGGGTCCCAGGCGGGAGGCGGGGTCGGGGCGGAGCCTGCGGCCGCGGGAATCCCAAAACCGCCCCTTTCCCCACCCCTCCATTTCTCGCCATGGCCCCTGCACTGCTCCTCGTCCCTGCTGCCCTCGCCTCTTTCATCCTGGCCTTTGGCACTGGAGTGGAGTTCGTGCGCTTTACCTCCCTTCGGCCACTTCTTGGAGGAATCTCGGAGTCTGGTGGTCCGGGTGAGCGGGAGGGACCGAGGATGAGCTCTGGGGTAGGAAGGTGGAGCCGGAGCAGAGGGAGCGGGGGCGGGGCTTGGAGACAAATGACAGGGGAAGTCCAGGAGAGGGAACTAGAACCGTGAAAGCCGCCGAGACGCTGCAGGGGACACCAGAGGGCTAAATTAGCAACTCAGGGATTAGCGGTTTGGAGAGGCGGGAGAGTGAGGACTGAGGGGGAGAGAGGGCGATAAGCAGAGTATTCTAAGGAAAGGCTTAGTAAAGAGGACTATGGAGAGTGTTATAAAGAGGGAGCATTTGGAGAACCGAAACAAGAAGGGCACTCCAGCCATGCCTTTCGTGACTGACCAGCACGAATCCTCTTCCCCAGCTCTGAAGGAGGCCTGGGGAAGAGGGAAGAAACAGGGAATAGAAAAGTGAGGTGGGCAAAGCCTAGAGAGGAAGCATTAAGGCTCTTGAAAGCATTAAGGGACATGGCCTGGGGTCCCAAGAAGAGATAAGAGTAGGGAGTTTTTCCCACAGTCTTCTTGATCTTTTGTCCCTTTCTCCAACTCCCGCTAGATGCCCGCCAGGGATGGCTGGCTGCCCTGCAGGACCAAAGCATTCTTGTCCCCCTGGCTCGGGATCTGGGGCTCCTGCTACTATTTGTGGGGCAGCACAGCCTCATGGCAACTGAGACAGTGAAGTCATGGATGTCCCGGTACTTCGGGGTCCTTCAGAGGTCTCTGTACGTGGCATGCACTGCCCTGGCCTTGCAGGTATGAAGCCCTGGCAGCTGAGTCCTCAAGGGAAACAGTCTGTGGGAAGGATTCCATCGACTGGAGAGGCAAGGACCTTAGGCTTCTGATAAAACATGGGTTTAGGAGGAGAACTAAGGGTGTTCAGGACTGTAATCTCAGCTCCCATTCCTCCACAGCACATATCCTACTTTTTATCAAGAATGGTGTACTGCTTGTCATTCCCCGAGAATGATATGTGCATTCTCACCGTTGCAACTTTGTTCACGTTGTCCTGCTTGAGATTCCCTTGTTAACTCCTCTTCAGTCCTATCCTTTCTTCAAAAGCACTTCCCTAGGTCACAAGAGAAAGCTTCCCAGTTAGTACTCATCTGTTTCTCAGTGGGTGCTTGGCCTAGGCTACTTTGTGTACCTATCTGGTGACTCTCATCCATTCTTTAAGTCCTCAGAGTAGAGACAAGTCATTCTTACATACTTGGGACCCCACCCAGCACCCTCCACATGTTGAACATGCTCATGGTAGAGGCGGGGAGAGCAGCTGGCCGGCCTGGGATGGGGGCAGCCTCTGGGTCTAGGTCTTTCAAGGGTGGGCTGCTGGGATACCCAGTCCCTCATCCTCCTTCAGCTGGTGATGCGGTACTGGGAGCCTGTGCCCAGGGGCCCCGTGTTGTGGGAGGCTCGGGCCGAGCCATGGGCCACTTGGGTGCCCCTCCTCTGCTTTGTGCTCCACGTCATTTCCTGGCTCCTCATCTTCAGCATCCTTCTCGTCTTTGACTACGCAGAGCTCATGGGCCTCAAACAGGTGAGGCTCCCAGATCCCTACCCAAAACCTCTGATCCTTTCTAGAATACCTCTTTCCCCTCCAAGGATGTCCCTCCTCCTCCCCTACTCTTCCACCTGCCTCTTGCTTTTGACTCCCTCACCTCCCTTTCTTGTAAGATAGTCTCCCCTTAGCCCTCCCTCAAAGGCCAGAAACCATGGGCTTCCTGGGCCTGCGGAAGTTTCATGGACTAGAGATGAGGGTCAGGGACCCCAGTCTCAGAAGGGTGGTTCCTGGGCCTGCGTTATAAAAGGAGGGTGCCTGGAAGGGGAGGAAAGAGGCAGCTAAGTTGCGACAAGGGCTTGACTCCATTTCTAAGCCTTTCTCCCTCTCTTAGGTGTACTACCATGTGCTGGGGCTGGGCGAGCCTCTGGCCCTGAAGTCTCCCCGGGCTCTGAGACTCTTCTCCCACCTGCGCCACCCAGTGTGTGTGGAGCTGCTGACTGTGCTATGGGTGGTGCCCACCCTGGGCACTGACCGCCTCCTCCTTGCTCTCCTCCTTACCCTCTACCTGGGCCTGGCTCACGGACTTGACCAGCAAGATCTCCGCTACCTCCGGGCCCAGCTGCAAAGAAAACTCCACCTGCTCTCCCGGCCCCAGGACGGGGAGGCCGAGTGAGGGGCTAACCCTCGTTCCAAGCCCTGTACTTCCTTTTCCCCTCCAATTCCAAATCCCCTTAACATCCAGGCCTTGGCTGCTTCAGACCAGAGGCCCAAATCCATGGACTGAAGGAGCTGTCCCTTCCCTTGCTTGAGCCTCCACTCCTTGGGTCCAGCTCCATATCTTAAATTCTGAGTTTCAGCCATTGGACTCCAAGGGCCGCTTCTCACCAGCCAGGAAGAGGGAGTGGGGAACTTATCTGTCTCCTCAGAGTTTAGGGCTTGACCCTCCATTAACAACCTCCTCACAAGGAGAAGGGTCTGGCCTGACCACTCCCCTGGTCCTATTTCTGGCCTCTGCGCCTCAAGGATCCTCTTCTCCACGTCTAGCTCCCCTCCTAGGAGCTGGACCAAGGTCCGCAAGTTTGACGATAGTGGCTGCCCCATCAGGCTCCACACCTTGCAGCTGCAGCCCAGCCCCAACTGTCTGGCCTTTCCAGCTCCCTAGGCCCTGCCCCTGGGCTCCAGACTCATGAACCTAGTTGAGCAGATATTTCTGCTCTTAATTCGGGTGACTAAGGGCTCCCTGCTCTCCCGAGTAACTCGCGCTACAGGAAAATAAAATTCAGCCTGGTTTTTCTACGTGTAGCATGCAGTCTGTCAGTGTCTCTCAAGCTGCAGGGCTGCCTCTGGGAAGGACAGGCGAGCCAGACTCGAGTCTGGGCATCGGCCGCGCCCTCTGATGACCGCTGGGTGGCGGCCACTCCCCGCGGACCGCCCCACCCCTCTTCCCGGAGCACCCGGTCTCCCTTCCTCCAAATCCCCCAATTTCCTCGCTGCAGACCTGGGGACCCTCGGCAGATAGGTTGAAGCGGAAGAGTGGGGCAGCGGCTCGGGTAAGGGAGCTAGCTTCCAAAACCGTTGGCTTCCGAGCGCCGCTCCTGCTGCCGCCCCCTCCCTACGGGTCCCCCGCAGCCCGGCGGCCGCCCCGGCCCCCACGGCAACAAAGGCTGGCCCGGGAAGGCAAATGCGTGGGGAGGAGCGGCAGGAGATGGGAAGGGCGGGCCCGGCTCGGAGCAGCTGCCGCTTCCTCCTCAAGTCCCTCGAGGGGCCTGAGTCACGGGCCGCCGCCCTGGGTTGGCGAGCTGGGGGCGGAGGTCTGGACACCTGGGTTATCCGGGAGCCGGGTGAGAAGCCCTGGGGACAGACGTCGGAGGGCCAGGGCTGGCGGCGGGAAGAGAGGAGACCCGGAGCCGAGTCCCACGCGGGGTCGGAGGGAGCGAGGCTCCGCCCCCTCGCCCGGCTCCGCCCCGCGCCCCCTTCCCTCTCCCCATTGTCCTCAGACAAAGCGGCCGTCTCCCCCCGCCCGGTCCCCTGGTCTCTGTCTCCGTCCCTCCTCCTTGGCTCCCTCTTTCCGTCCTCCTCTCCCTCCCTCCTCCCCTCCCTCCTGTCTCCGGATCTCCCTCGATCCCTCTCTCCTCCTCTTCCTCTCTCCTCCTCTCTCCGGACGTCAGGCTCCTTCGCACCCCCTCCCCTGGGAGCCCCGCGGCGTGTGAGTTGACTGAGGGGCTTCAGCCTTGGGGAGGGGGTGTCTCCTCTCCCGTCCCCGCTCCCGTCCCCGGCCCGAACCTTGGGCTGTCTCCTCTTTGTGCCGAGATTGCCTGTCTGTGCGGTCAGAGCCGGGTGGGGATGGCCGGCTATGTCGGGGTTCCGTGAGAGCCAAGACCCGGGCACAGGACTGGCAGGCTCCGGAAAAAAGAGGTGTGGGGCCGGTGCTCCGCACGCCTGGGTCCCGGGGCACCGCCGGTGGGGGAGGCAGGCGGTGGTGCCGGGACCGCGTTAGGGTGGGGGTGGACGCCAGGGTTCTGGGAACGTGCTGGTAGGTCCGACACCCGGGTTCCGAAAGTCCCCGGGGGAGGGTATTTCCCCTGACCCGCCTCGGGGCGGAGTGCGGGGCGGAGGGGTGGGGGCTGGGGGGCCGGAGGGGCGTGGCCCGAGCAGAGCTGGAAGGGGAGCCCGGACCTCCTGGGCCCACGCTGAGACGCGCCGGGCTGCAGCCGCGGAACCCCCTCGCCCCTCTGCCCCCTGACTTCCACTTCTCCCTTAGACCTCTCCACTCTCCGCCCTCCCACCTCCCCGACACCCCCTCAGGTCCCAGTGCCCCCTCTCCGGCGGGATTCCCTGACCTCTCTTCCCACTCTCATCGCTCCTGGGGTAGCGGTGAGGCAACCTCGCCTGGACCCTGTCCCCCTCACGTCCAGCCTCTCCCTTCTCTCTTCGCCCTCGCGCCAACTTCTCTCGTTTTTCTCTCTTCTCACATTCTGGGGACTGTCTCTGATACCCAATAACCTGTACTGACAAATCTGACTCCTGCCTCTTTGCCCTGAATCTCCACTCTTCCTCTCAACCCATCCCCCGACCGCCATCAACTTGGCTCTTAGTTTCCCCTTCACTTTCTCAGCTTTTCCCCTTTCTCTGCTCCCCGCTCTTTCCCTCTGTCCTCACCCTCAGCTCCTCTGCCCTCCTCTGTGTCCCACCTCTCCGCTCCACTACCTCCCCTCCCACCCCCATTCTCACCCTCTGGGCCTCTCTGGAGCCTCTCCTTCCTGTTCTCTGCCCCCAGCGTTCCCCACCCTCCCCAAGGGGACCATGGCCACCATCCCGGACTGGAAGCTACAGCTGCTAGCCCGGCGCCGGCAGGAAGAGGCAGCCGTTCGTGGCCGGGAGAAGGCAGAGCAGGAGCGGCTGTCCCAGATGCCAGCCTGGAAGCGGGGGCTTCTGGAGCGCCGCCGGGCCAAGCTTGGTCTGTCTCCCGGGGAGCCTAGCCCTGCGCCTGGGACTACGGAGGCTGGACCTCCAGACCCAGACGAGTCTGCTGTCCTCCTGGAGGCCATTGGGCCAGTGCACCAGAACCGATTTATTCGGCAAGAGCGCCAGCAGCAGCAGCAGCAGCAGCAGCGGAGTGAAGAGCTACTTGCAGAGAGACGGCCTGGGTCTTTAGAGGCCTGGGAGCGGAGACTCAGCCCTGGGGAGATGCGGGATCAGAGCCCCAAGGGAAGAGAGTCAAGAGAAGAGCGGCTCAGTCCCAGGGAAGCCAGAGAGAGGAGGCTGGGGATAGGGGGAGCTCGAGAGTCGAGCCCCAGGCCTTTGGAGGCTCGAGACTGGAGGCAGAGCCCAGGAGAGGCTGGAGACAGGAGCTCCAGACTGTCAGAGGTGAGGAAATGGAGGCTGAGCCCTGGAGAAACTCCAGAGCGGAGTCTGAGACTGGCAGAGCCTCAAGAACAAAGCCCCAGGAGAAAAGAGGTGGTGGAAAATAGACTGAGCCCGGTGGAGTCTGACAACCAGAAGTTGGGCCTGACAGAGGCCCATAAATGGACGCCTGACTCCAGAGAGTCTCAGGAACAGAGTTGGGTACAACCGGAGGCATCAGAGTGGAGGCTGAGCTCAGGAGAAGAAAGAAAAGACTGCTCAGAGGAATGTGGGAGACAAGAAGAGAGGCCAAGTCCAAGGATGGTCCCAGAAGAGATTACAGCGTTGTCAGAGACCCTGACAAGGGAGGCTCCAGACAGCAGGTCTGGAGGAGTGGAGGCAGCAGAACAGAGGCCCACCCCTGCGGAGGATGGCGAGAGGGGCTTGAGGCTGACAGAAGGGTGGAAATGGACCCTGAACTCTGGGAAGGTTCGAGATTGGACACCCAGGGACACAGAGACTCAAACTCAGAAACCAGACCCTCCAGAGTCTGCCGAGAAGCACCTGAGTCCTCTCGCTGCAGAGGCTGGAGAAGGGGAAGCTGAGAAGGAGGAGGCAGGGGCTCAGGGCAGGCCTCTGAGCGCCCTGCAGAACCGCTGCTCTGTGCCCTCCCCCCTCTCACCAGAGGACGCTGGGACTGGAGGCTCTAGACAGCAGGAAGAGGAAGCAGGGGAACTCCGGCCCCCACCAGCAGCCCCTCTGTCTCCCCCACCCCCAGCCCCACCTGCCCCCCAGTCCCCTGGGGATCCCCTCATGAGCCGGCTGTTCTATGGGGTGAAGGCAGGGCCAGGGGTGGGGGCCCCCCGCCGCAGCGGACACACCTTCACAGTCAACCCCCGGCGGTCCGTGCCCCCTGCAGCCCCTGCCACTCCGGCCAGCCCAGCCACAGCTGACGCTGCAGTCGCTGGGGCTGGGAAGAAGCGGTACCCAACTGCCGAGGAGATCTTGGTTCTGGGGGGCTACCTCCGCCTCGACCGCAGCTGCCTTGTCAAGGGGTCCCCTGAAAGGCACCACAAACAGGTAGGGAGCAGCCAAGTCAGACTCCTCAGAAGCCCACTGTCAGCTCTCTGTGGGCTCCTGTCTCTGTCTCATATGCCTGTATTCTTGTCTCGGTCTATGCGTTCTTGTTGATTCCTGCCACCACTCTTCCTCCCCTGCGCACACACCCTTCCTTCTCGTAGCCCTTCTTTTCCATTCACTTCCCAGCCCAAGGAGGCTGCCCCGCAGGCAAGCGCTGTCCTGGGTGTGTCACTCTCAGGCTGTGCCCAGGCTGCTCACCCTCCGTTCCCTCAGGCTCTGAGCCCCCAGCCCCCCAGTTCTTTCCATTGCTGACTCTGTGACCCAACCCAGGCCGTCTGGTGGGAGACCTGAGCTGAGGCCACAGCCTGGAGCCTGTGAGGGCAGGGTCCTCAGGGCAAAAGCACTTCCAGCCTTCCAGCGGGGAGGATGTCGGGGCGGGGAGGTTGGGAGGTGGAGGGGTGGCTTTGGGCTTGTAGGGAGAAGTGAGCGGAGGAGGGTCTCACAGACCCGAGGACGAGGGGTGCGGAGGAGGGACACCGCAGGACAGCAGGGGGAGGGGAGTGGAACAGGGCTGGCCAAGGAGCAGAGAAGGCTTTCGAACCCCGAGTCTGCCCCATGGGAGAGACGCACACAGAGGCCACTTGAAGTGGGTGACCTCGAGGTTGCACACCCCCAGCTGGGCCGCTGCTTCAGACAGTACTCCCTTCTCTCTTGGGACAAGAAAAGCCTTCTCCTCTTCCAAAATACCCCCTCGCCACTCCCTCCCTGTCCTTCCTCCCTGGGCTTCCCCTCCGTCCCCAGAACTGGCTCAGCAGTTGGTTTTCCCCTCTCTTCCTGCCATCCCGGCCTCTCCCTCCTCTTGGGGTAGAAAGAAAGAGAAGTGAATTTGGAGGCACTGTGCTGAGAGCAGGGAGTACAATGGGAGTTAAGGACGGGGTGGGGTGGGGGCGGGGTGGGGGCCGAGGCCAGCAGACGAAGGCAGCGCAGGGAAGTTGGCAACAGCCAAGCTGTCAGCCAAGCAGACTTCTCCCCCTGGCCCTGGCCCACGTCCTTCCCCACACACCAGTTTCCAGCTTGAAAAACTCTAAGGAAAGAGAGGTCTCTGCATCTAACATCTCTCCAGAGACTGGGAAGACCTTCCTAGTCTCCAGTTCTCATCTCATGTGTGACATCCTCAGACTTGTTTTTTGTGTCCTCAGTATCAGTGGGAAAGCACAGGGACCAAAGCTCAGGGTCACTTGAGACCCCAGTTCATCTTCACATGAAGCTTAAGCTCCCATCCCTGAGCTATGGTCCCTGAGTCTGTCCTGAGCTCTTGGACTGCTACCAGCCCCTTCCCCTTCAGGCTGGGCAGACGCAAGGAAGTAGATGAGGAACGACCAGGGCGAGGTGTTCAGAGAAGTCACTTCCTGCTGTAGAGGTTGGCTTGTGCCTCTGGGGAGGAACAAAGAGGGGAAGGCGTGAATTTGGGGGCCCAAAGCCCAGGGACTGTCTGAGCGCAGGGCAGGACCTGTGAGGGTGACCATACCTAGGTCAGGGAGCAGGGGAGCCGGAAGCAGATCGCCCAAACAGGAAGCCTGGTGGGGGGGCGGCCGGAAGGCTGGTGGGGCTGAGTGGCAAATGCAGGGCCACGGGCCTGCCAGAACTGTGCTCAGGATGTGGTGAGAGAATAAGGAAGCAGCCGCTCGGGGTGGGGGTGGGGGTGGGGAAGAAGCAGCACAGAGTTCTCTAGGCCCAGACACCTTCCCCTCGGCCCTCCCTCAGGCCTGCTCCACTTGCCCAGCACCCTGCTCATCAGGGACAGGCATGTCCTGTCCCCAGCTGCCAGATGAGGAATATGAGGACCCTGCCACCCAACACTCCCCCCCCTTCCCTAAATAACTCCTGTTTTGCAGGCTAATTCCATCAAATGTATCCCTGCCACTGGGAGAGAAATCCCAGCCCTGCCACTGGAGCCCAGGGGTTGGGCTGTGGCTGGTGCCCTTCCCCAGAGGCCCCTCTGGCAGGGAGACCAGCCCCTCCCCTCTCCAGCCCCCTTGTGACCTTATATAGCTGATGAGAGGAGTGAGTCACCCCCTCCGTACCCCCCACCCCACACGCCCCATGCAGGCTGTGCATTCCTGAGAAGCCCAGTCAGAAGCTGGGGCGGGTGGTGAGGAGGGAAGCAGGGTGGGGGGAGAGAGACAAACGTGGAGGGAGAGCAAATAAAATGGATCCTTTTCCAGAGCAGATAATAAACTACGCAGCTTGTTATCTCAAAAGGTGATATGAAAAGAAAACCGAAATGGGTTCCCAGAAGTTTGGGTAAATCTGTCAGCAATAGAATTAGTTCCTTTTGAGAAACTGGGATATAAGGGGTCTGGTTCCTGTCACTGGACTCTACCAGCCAGCTGTCCCACAGACACAGACTGGGGGTTGACTGTGTACAGACTGGACTGACCCCGCCCCCAGTATTCCCCCAGTGTTGGTCC